ACCCAAACCAAGACGAACTTTTTCACTACTCACTGAGCTTTATCTAATGGCAATAATCCCAATCGAAAGGCGATTTTACAGCTGGAAAGATTTCCTCGTCAGCCTATTCATTGCGTTTCGTCTGCTGAGTGTGCTGAGTTGACAAAAACCGTCCATGGTGATTGATTATGATATTTGCTTAAGCAACAAAAGAAGTAGTCTTTATCTACTTTGTAGCCTTAAATATCGATAGTACGTCATATGCTGATGCAATCTGTTTTCGTCGCAATAGAAGACCAAATATTTACTTAAATGATGATGACGAGCATCGTTTTTCTCTTATCTGCTGCCCTATTTTTTTAATGTCCTGTTGGGTTTTTAGTTACGAAGCAAAGAAAAACAGTGTAAATAGAAAGATATAAGTTTCCAACTTCCATGAATAATATATTACGACGAAGTCTATTCTCTATCTATTTAAGTGGATAACAATCAATCTTGTTCCCTGATCGTTACTGAAAAATAATGAGCAAAAGAATTCGGTTAGATACATCTGAATCAGCTATTCTTATCGATGATAACTTGGAGCAGATGTCAAAGTCGCTCTCTTCCGTTGACGACGACAATCTTACACACAAGATGTCGAAATTTTCTGCACACCATCCATTTTCTCGACGTATCGACAAAACAGTTGTTATTTGGTTGGGTCCAATCGACGACAAATCGTCTATTTCTCAACTACATTCTATTGTTAATTCTATTCGGATGTTTGAAGATGTGGATCAATGTGCAAAATTTCTCAATGAAATTAAGAATGAAAAAGCATTTATAGTTATTTCAAATATGATAAATCAACATTTAAAACCTCTTTTTCATAGCTTTTCTCAAGTTCATTCTACTTACATATTGTGTAATAATAAACACGGAGGAAATCCAGCAGGAACTTATAGTCGAATCGAAGATATATGTCATTCACTAAAACAAGACATTCGACGATATGAAACCGAACAGAGTTCAATTAGTATATTATCATCAGATAGGATTCCGAATCATGATATTAATGAACTAGATCAATCATATATGTATTCACAATTATTAAAAGAAGCAATTCTCGAAATTGAATTTGATGATGAAGCACGAAAACGATTTGCTGATTTTTGTTGTTTCCATTATTCTGATAACAAATGTAAAGTAGATGCTATCCGTCAATTTGAAAATGACTATGAACGTCATTCACCAATTTGGTGGTATACTAAAGAATTATTTATTTATTCGATGCTTAATCAAGCTTTAAGAACACAATATTCTGAGATTGTTATTCGAATGGGATTTTTTATGCAAGATCTCCATCGACAAATAGAAGATCTTCATGCTAAAATTCCAAAAGATGAATATCCGCGAATAGTTTATCGAGGTCAAGGTGTGTCAGATGAAGATTTTGACAAATTAAAGAATACCAATGGAGGTCTTATATCGTTTAATAATTTTTTGTCGACAAGTCTTGATCCAACAGTTGCACGTGCTTATGCTGAAAGTTCAAAGGGAAATCTTGCAACGCAAAGTATACTATTTCGAATAGAACTAGATCCATTGATAGCCTCAGCTCCATTCGTTGAATTGAAAAATATTGGATATTATCAAGAAGAAAAAGAAATTCTTTTTTCAATGCATGCGGTCTTTCGAGTTGGATGTATATGTCAAATTGATGATCGATTATGGGAAGTACAGCTAACATCAACTAGTAGTACTGATGAAAAACTAGTTGCACTTACGAATTATATAAGAAATGAATTACAACAATCAATTGGATGGAATAAATTAGGACATTTAATGATTAAAATAGGAAAATTTAATCAAGCTCGTGAAATTTATCATCAATTATTTCATCTGATATCGAATAAGGATTGGAAAGGTCGAGCTTTGATCTATAGTTACTTTGGATTGATTCATAAAGAGAAAGGAGAAAATAACAAGGCACTTTCATTCTATAACAGATCGATTCAAATTTTTGAAAAATATTTCTTTCACGACTATCAAAATCGAGCCATCAACTATGGGAATATTGGTGAAGTATATCGTAATATGGGAAAATACCCGGATTCATTATCATATTATCAAAAAGCGCTTGAATTGCAAAATCTATTTCTTCCATATGATCATCCATATCGAGGTATTATTTACAATGATATCGCTCTTGTATATAGTCAATTAGGAGATGAAATCAATGCTCTTTCATATTTTCAACAAACACTTCAAAATCAAGAGAAATGTTTACCTTCTAACCATCCTCATGTATCTATTACCTATTCTAATATTGGTCAATTATATCAACTTAAAGGAGAGTATCCTGTTGCACTTTCATTTTATCAAAAAGCACTTGAAAACGAAGAAAAAAGTCTCCCATCAGATCATCCATGTGTGGCTATAACATCGAACTGTATCGGTGTCTTATATCGATTAATAGGAGATTATCCAAAAGCACTCTGGTTTTCGGAAAAGGCACTCAGTATTCAACAGAAATCACTGAAGTATAATCATCCCAACACTGCTATTATTTATATAAACATTGGTGAAGTTAATTGAGAAATGAAACAGTACACAACTGCACTATCGTTCTATCGAAAGGCACTTACAATTCAAGAAACATTTCTTCTTCCTGATCATCCTAATCTGGCTGTTACTTATAACGGTATCGGTGAAATTCATTCGTGCAGGAAGAATTATCTCAAAGCACTATTTTTCTATCGAAAAAGTTTACAAATTAAAAAGAAATCTTTTTGGTTGAACCGTTCGTCTATATCTATTACCTATAATAATATAGGTGAAGTATATTACTCAATGAAAGATCTATCGACTGCTTTATCATACTATCAGAAAGCACTGAAGCTTCAACTAAAATCTCTCTCTTCCAATCATTCAATTTTGGCAACTATATATAATAATATGGCTGTGGTGCACGATGAATTAAATGATGCATCTGCTGCCCTTTTATTTTACAAACAAGCACTTGAAATTCAACAAAAAGTTCTTCCTCCTATTCATCCAGATTTAGTCATTACTAAAAGTAATATTGCCATATTACATTTGCAAATGAAAAATTATTCAACTGCACTTTCAATCTATCAAGATGTGCTCGAAATTCAAAATAGATCACTATCATTGGATCATCATAGTTTTGTTACTACATACGGTAATATTGGCCAAGTTTATTATATGATGAACGATCATCCCAATGCAGTGACATCTTATCTGAAAGCACTGGAAATTCTACAGAAGAACCCAACCGCTGATCGTGTCTCTATTGCCGAGGCTCATAGAGATGTTGCTCTCATGTACTTTGTCATGAAAGAATATTCCATGTCATTACCTTATTTTCAGAAACTATTAGACATTCAACAAGCCTATCTACCTTTCGACCATAGTGATTTAGTTGCTGTTTATTATAATATTGTGGAGGTACATGAAGCAATGGAGAATTATTCCGATGCACTATTAATTTATGAAAAATTGCTTGAAATTGAAGAAAAAAATCATGCACAAAATCAACTTTCACTTGCTAGAATCTACAATAGGATTGGTGTAATCCATGATTCAATGAAAAACCATGTCATGGCACTTGATTTTCATAAAAAAGCACTTAAAATCGATGAACAATCGCTTGCTCCAGATGATGTATCACTTGCCAGTGATTATCGCAACATCGGTCTGACATATTTTGCAATGAAAGATTACTCGAATTCATTAATTTATTTTAACAAACAATTAACAATTCAAGAAAACTACCGCTCTTCTAATGATCTTGATCTTGATCTAGCCGAAGCATACTATAATATTGCTAACATACATTACAATACGAAGAACTATCCTGTTTCACTCTCATACTTCGAAAAAGTCCTTGAAATTGAACAGAAAATTCTAGATTGTGATGATCCAAATTTGGCTGTTACATACACTAACATTGGTCAAGTGCATTTTTTCATGAAAAATTATTCATTAGCACTATCTTATCACGAAAAAGTATTGAAAATTCGACAAAAATCTCTTCCTTCCGACGATCCTAATTTGGCTATCACTTACAATCACATAAGTGAAGTGCGGAGCTTCATGTAAAACAAATAAAATGATATTTAAATCTGAACCTACTAGACTGAATAATTTCAAACTATTATAAATATTAGCAAAACAGCAAAATAATACTTTTATATTATTTTTCGCTTTAAGGGCCCGCCCCCCAGAAACCAACTTTGTTCTTTTTCGTCCGATTTCAACCAAATTTTGGGAGAATATTAGTCTAGGCTAGGATAGATTATGAGTGAAATATCTCCCCCAAACTCCAATATACTAACGAGTTATAGTCAATTTATTGGCCAAAAGTAACCTGTACGCGGGCAAGGTTTTCGCAATCAGGATGCGAGGTAACATGCAGGGGCGTTTTTTAAGTTGTAGAGTACCCTTAGGGCTGGATCCTCACAGAGTAAGATTTTTGAAATTCCCTTTGATTGTTTTTTAAAAAATCTTTTCCGAAAAATTCTCGAATTCATGGGCAAAAAAAGTCGCTGATAAAAACGAAATGTGTAAGCTTTTTATTTCACCAATAGAGAAATTCAAAAATCGAGCTCTGTGAGGATCTAGCCCTAACTGTCCTCTATACAATAAAAAAAAATGATCACTTCTCTATTGAGTCGTTATTAAAAAAAGCCTTGCCCGCGTAAACGGTATGCCCGACAAAATTGATTTTGAGAAAGCGGAGAATAAGTTTTTAAAAACCTTATTTTTTTCAATATGGGGGTCTAGAAAAATCTATGCAATTTCCTTAAATCTCATCATAAAATCAATCAAATATAGTGCATTCGAGAGTAGACACTTTCCCCTATCTAATGAATTATAAATCACAAAATCGATAAATTTGACCAGGGTGTGGGTGTAGCGTGAGTGTGGGTGTGGTGTCATGTGGGTGTGGGGGTGGGTGTGGGCGTGGGTGTGGGCGTGGGTGTGGGTGTGGGTGTGGGTGTGAGTGTGGATGTTGGCTTTATTAGTATATTTATACCCACACCCCACACCCCACACCCACACCCACACCCACACTCACACCCACACCCACACCACCCACACCCACCCCAAAATGGACAAGCG